AGCTGGGTTTGCAATATATTTACATAGAAGGGCTCATCCATTATGTCAGTGAAGCAAATCGCCTTGTTGTAATGGCGACGTTTCGGTGCAAATGCTGTCCAAGTGCACGTATACCATTTGTGTAACCTGTGAATGACGACCATTTCCCTTCCTAGATTCTGTATCTCGGAGTTTATTAAGATTATACTTGAAGCAGAAATATTAGCTTTTTGTGTATCTCCTTCGGTGATTGAGTGCCATTAAACCAATAATAGAGAATTATTTGAGTTGTGGCCTCCAGTCGCGAGTTAACCATTGTTACTGATAATTTAAGTTCGGGGATGTCTGACAATCCGAAGTTTTTTATCGTGAAAAAACGTTTATCTGATTAGTAATTAAGTGTAAATAATATCGCGTTGACAATAAACAACGCGTTCCTAGTTTATTATACGAAATATCTTCGATTTTTCGAAGGCAATTATTTTCGTTACACACTGTATATGATCAACACAAAATTTGGAAAATAAAAGGTTTACCTCATTATCATCATCTAAGTCTAATCTGTGAACTTCTTTGTCCACACTTCTCTCTTTCAAGTGCTGTCAAAAAAGATCTGTAAGCAAATGTACAAACTTCAATCGGATACATAAATTTAATATCAATGATGAGCTTTCTGTGCAGAGATCAATACAATCTTGCGTGTTTGTCTTCAATTGATTGATAAGGTTCTTGCTGGCATGGAACTCCGGAAATAATTATTAGTAAAGATATGGTCAAAGTATTTACATGCATTTATCTGAGACCACCTTCAAATCTTCAATTGTACAAGTGGAGACTGCCTTCATTCTCAACGCCACCCTGTGTTCCTCTTCTTCCGCTTTCCATCGCAATTTATCCTTGAATCGCATCACTTCAGTAGTATTAAAACTCATATCATATACAGATAATAATTTTGACACCTTTTTCTTAGCATTCCGATTAGTGTTCTCCCTATTGTGGTAGTCATGGAGTACATCATATACAAGTGAAACTCGATAAGCCGAAGCCACACTAAGCCGAAATTGCATTAAGCCGAAGTTTTTTTGATTTCCCAAA